TTCCCTCCCCTCAAAAAAAATTTTTTATATGAGTATAAAAAACTTGTTGCCTTCTCGTACCTTTTCATGCTAGTGGCTGCAGGGAAACAAGAAGGAAGTCCTTTTGTTACCCAATTTCTTAGTGTCCTTTATCTTCTATTCCACTAGGACAGTATAAAAAATTATGTAAAATATACTGGAGAAGGCTGGACATTAAGGCCATTGTGCAGGTACTATATACAGTAACACAAGATATTTGTATTACAGAATATAATACTAATATTTGTTTAAAATTCTTCATGTTTATTTACATGGTTGGTATCATATAGGCATTCTATGGAGTCTTTTTTTTTCTGAAGTTTCACTTAACAGCAGGTCAAAACCTTTCCCATCTAACAAATCTAGAGCCTAAGGTTATGTACAGATAGTGTGTGTGCATGCACTGGCGTACATACGTGCATGCACTTAGAACACTTACAAGACAAACAAAATTCATAAATCGATTACATTTTAGTATCTGGAATATCTTAAGCACCATAAATACCAATGCATTGGTAAGAAAGCAAGTCTGCATATCTTAAGTTTGAAAGACAAAGGATATTTTCTAGGAAAAAGCATTGTTCTTTAAAAACTACATGATTCATCTTTCTATTTTTTCATTTTTTTCTTCAGAACTGTTCTACTTTTTATTTGCTTTATAAACAAGTCATGTCATTTTTATATTTTTTATTTGATTCTTAAACAAGTTATGTGGCTATCACCTACTTTGCCCACCCCAGACTAGCCTTAAGCAAACATTTTAAATATGCTGAACATTGAAGTCCTTATGGCGAACCTGCTCCTATTTCCTTTTATTCCTGTTTTGTTCTTAAATTTTTATTCCTATGGCTCTTCTTACCCTTCATATCTTTAGGCTTCTGAGAGGATTTCTGTTCTGTGGAGATACCCTTGAGGCAGCCCATGTAGATGAAGGGGAACTTCACATGCAGGGGAAAAAAGGACCCGACGGCCTCAAACAGTGAGTCCTTCCAGAGAGGAGAGATGCACTGGGCCATTTTAGTGCTCAAACTGGGCTTCTTCAGTTAAGTTAGAGAAAACAGCTTATGCATTTTCTGCTTTTTCTGGCTCTCTTCCTAACCTTTTCCCTATTCTGAGCATGAACAAATTCTTCTATAAGAGAGAAAAAATGATTCCTCAAATTTCTTAAGCAATCTCTGGGGACATAAACCATCTCAGGTTTTGGGAGGTGCAAGGAGCATATATAAAAATGTTAGAAGAAATAAATCAGTGTTTCATTTTTCACTGTTGTGATTAATTCAGAACAACATAATGTTGTATGTAGCAGTGACGTGGCATTTCCATTTGCTTTTCCCCAGGCCACTCTTTGTATTTGGAAGTTTGCAGGGAGAAATCTGCAGTCTCTCAGACATAACTTTCTGTGGTTTTAAAACCAGCAGCTGCCTGAAGTCAATTTTGAATATAGGACTTGGTGTAGCAAAATAAATCCTTCTTTAAAACCCAGTTTACCACAACATAGATGAACCTTGAAAACATTATGGTAACTGAAACAAATTACATATAGAATGACATACATTGCTTGATTCCATTTACATGAGGTACCTAGAAAGTCAAATTTGTAGAGACATAGAGTAGATTGGTGGTTACCAGGGACTAAGGGGAGGGAGTATTAGGCAGTATTGGTTAATGGGTACAGAGCTGCAGTTTGGGAGGATGGTAAATTCTGGAGACAGGTAGTGAAGATGGTTGAACAAGAGTGTGAATGTAGTCAATGCCATTGAATTGTACATTTAAAATGGTAAGCTTTATGTTATAGAAATCTTAACACAATGTAAAAAAATAAAAACAAAACAGTGTGATCATCCTAAAACTTTGAGTTTTCTCACTGAAATTGCTAATGGGATCTTTTAAAGTTTGATAAGGTAGCAGAGAGAGAAGAAAAATACTGGGGGATTAGAGAACATTTGGTGGTTAGTGTTGGAAATAACCAATATGTCCTACTTGTTCATTTTCCCAAATCTAGCCATTTGCTCTGGGCCTCCTACTGACCCGGCTGCTACCAGGGCTCATTGTGAATAAGAGGCTCTTGCACTGCTGTGTTACAATTAGTTTCTTCAAGACAAAGGTCTAATGCTCACCACCATCATTTACCTCCTTAAAGGCATTCAGTTTGAACCTTTTGAATTTGAATGGCCTGGCAGAATAGGACTTTTTTATTTTCTTCCTTTGTCAATTGGAAATCTTCCTGCTCAGTTTCCCTCTTATTGCCGTGAAAAGGGGAAAAAAGTGGATGAAGAGGTATTCCAATGTAAATACCCAATATCTAACAGTGATGTAGAGAGTGAACAAATACAATAAATTCAATGGAAGATGGCTACTGCTCTATTTCTACATTACTTTTACGTTTTACTGGGCAAACAACAATAATAGTGAAATGAATAAGAGTAATGACAATAATTTTAAAGTTGAATTTTGTTTTGTCATTATTCATGATTAAATTAAT